GTTCATGGAGGTGCTGAGCTCTTCTCCTGGGTCCTTCTGCTTCAAGCAAGCCCTGCAGAGCCCCAGGAGGCAGCTTTGGCAACTTACCCCTCCTCCTCTGCCTCCTGCCTGCCTCCTGGACAAAGGCACTCACTGGCATCGCAGTGCCCGTGTCTCTCTCCGAACTCGGTGAATGCATTAATGCTCTCCCATGATGGTGGTCTGATGGGAAAAGAAAACTGATGAGCTCCCTCTGCCCCGGCATCGGGCAGGTGCAGGGTGTCCCTGCTCTTCCCCCTGTGCCATTTCCAACTCCTGTGTGAAGTTGAACCCGGGACTCACGGAACAGTGCAGGGCCAGGACTGCTGGGGCAGGCCCTGGCACGGTACAGCACTTGCACCCCCTGTGTTGTGAGCCGGGCAGAAGGACACCAACCTCAAGGGCTTTCGGATCCCCATGGTGAACATATCCCTGAGAAATGTGTCATCATTTCTGCAGAGGGGGCACTGGAGGGATAAAAGACCAGCATGCAGAGCCTGTCCCTGCAGGAGAAACACAAGCAGCCAGAGTGAGGCCCTGGTGCTGCTGAGCCCCTGCCGTGCCCCCCGGGGTGAGGGAACCACTCCTACTTGGATGCAGTCCCTGTGGAACCAGGTGGTTTTGCAGGCTGGGCACACCAGGGTGTTGAAGGTCTTTCTGTCCTCCACAGGCTCCATGCAGATGAGGTATTCGGTGCCTGGCTCCAGTCGCCTCCACTGCCTGCTCTGGGCTGTGTGTGGGGCAGAAGCCCCTGGGGGAAAAAGGGGTGGGTGAGGTGAGAAGTGCTCGGCCCTTCCCTGGTGGTGGTGAGGAGGGGACAGGAGGTACCTGTACGGTGCCATGAACTGGGTGACACGGCCTCCCTACTTGGCACAGGGCAGGTGGAAGCTCAGGTCACAGTCTGTTTCGCAGCAGGTGATGGTGGCCCCGCTCTGGCCACAGATGCAGCAGCTCTGGAAAGAGCAGAGCAGCCCCATCAGGAGCAGCCTCACGGCCTCCTCCGTGTCCCAGAGCTGGTTGGAAGGGCTGGGCTTTCTTGCTTGGGGTCTGGGCTAAGCTCCAGCAAACCTCACCTGGCCCAAACCTCCCTGCTCTTGTCAGGCTCTCACCTGCTGTGCCACCTGGGAGAGTACATCTGGGATATTCCTTGGGAGGAAACCCTGAGTCCTACTCGATCTACCGGGTGGTGAGGAAGGTGGCTGGCAAAAAACTGTAGAAAAATGACACTCAGTGATGAGGAGAGAGTGGCAGGGACTGCCTGTCAAAAAATGGAAGGAGTCCTCAGAGCAACTCACCAGGCAGAACTCGTGGGCACAGAACTCATTTATCTGAAGGTTTTCTCTGCAGATACCCGGGTCAGCCTCTGATGGCTGACACAGCAGGCATGCTGGAGGGGAGAGAGACAATGGCCCCAGTCATGGCACCTGTGCTGCCCACCCTGACAGCCCCTCTGCCAGACTGTGGGAGGGGCACTTTGCTCTCACCTGGCTCCCTCCCTTTGGGGGCCTCCTCCTCCCTGTCTGACGTGGGACGTGTCAGCGGTGGGTCCCTGTCTCACTGTCCCACCAGTGAGTGGAGCTCCCAGCACTGGGTGCTCTAACACGGCTCCTGTCATGGCGACTTCTGGACCGGCCAGATGGATTTGGGATCTGATGTTGTTGGCAGGAGCAATTTTGTGTGCAGGATGTCCTTGATGTTTCCTGGCTGTGACTGCTCCTCCCAGCACTCGGTGCTCTCACATGGCTCCTGTCATGGGCACTTCTGGACCGTCCAGATCGATTTGGGGTCCGACGTTGCAGGCGGGAGCAGTTTCGCCTGCGGGATGTGTCTGATGGTCTCTGCCCGGGCCTGTGCCTCCCAGGACTTGGTGCTGGCACTTGGATCCTGTCCTGGGGACTTCTGGACCGAACGTGTGGATTTTGGGCCCGATGTTGCCGGCGGGAGTGGTTTTGCCGGCGGTCAGGCCCCCGACTGCTGTCCTCAGTTTCTGTGAAGCTGACCCCCATGTTACCTGACTGTCAGGGCTGGAGCTGCTCATCTCCTGTGAGGGAGATTCCAGAGACTGCTCCGATGTTGCCTGTTGGTTGGTATGGTGGTTGCTGGTCTCTGGTGCTGAAGATCCAGGGGATTGCACCTGGATGCTGGTGCTGGGGCTGATGGTCTCCACTGGTGCAGAACTGGGAGACAGCCCTGGTAGCACCAGGCTGCCTGTGTTGGGGCTGATGGTCTCGGGTTCCCTGGAGCCCGCAGAAGGCTCCAGTCCTGACAGTCAGGCCATGCAGGGGCAAGCAAGCTCCAAGTCATCTGTGGAGGCTGGAAGGGGAAGCAGGAATGTCAAGGCCACCTCAGGCCCAGGGCACGATAGACCAGAGCAGTGCTGCCAGTGCTCCTGGAGCAGACAGGCTTGGCCAAACCCACCCTGGGCACCCACTGCCAGTCCCAGCCTGGCACCTGGCCAAAGGGCACCCGAGTGCTTTGGAAAAGAGGGTCCCAGCCCCGGGATGGCTGGACAGCTCCTGCCTCCCCCTGCCACCTCTCCCAGCCCCACGCTGGCCACCCCGACAGCCCCTCTGCCAGGCTGTGGGAGGGGCACTTTGCTCTCACCTGGCTCCCTCCCTTTGGGGGCCTCCTCCTTCCTGTCTGAC